AAGCCCCGGGCGGCGCCGGAGCAAGCAATTGGGCGGCGCGGCTCCTACGCGACGACGGGCACTGGCGGTGGCGGCGGCGCAGGTCCTGGGTGGCGGAGGAGCACAGGTTGGGCGGCGGAGGAGCAAGCAATTGGGCGGCCTGGGCGGCGGAGGATCAAGCCCTTGACAGTGCCGGAGCAAGCAATTGGGCGGCGCGGCTCCTGGTCGACGACAGGCCCTGGCGATGCGCGCAGGCGATGGGCGGAGGAAGAAGGACATGGCGACCTCTTTGTAACAGATTTGAAGCTGCGAGGATGTTTTTGCAAAATTTGCTGTACACTACACGGGAGACAACTTTTCTCAGACGGAGAGAGTACCAACCTTTATCCTCTCATCATGCTAAATCCATGTAGCCGAGCCAGAGATTCCAACATTGTCCGATGCACATCTCATCACCACTGACTTCACTGCAGTAGCATATAGAACAAAAAATTGCCACAGTTTAGAAAAGAGAAGATGGGTAGAAAAAGTACCTCTTGCGTCATGGTGCCTTATAGATCATTTTTAAAGAAGATACTTAAATTTCTAATGTAGCAGCCAATTTCTGTATTGACTTGAACAGGCAACATGGATATTATGAAAATAAAGCCACTTTCTCCTTCCCAACAAAAATGCGGCACTGCACAAGACCAAGTACATACAGGCGCTTCCTAGTGGAAGTTGATGGATTTGATGGTTCAGAACTGGGAACCCAGGTTGGGCTTCAGAAGTTAGTTCAGAATAACAGCGACCAAATGCAATGCATATCCACCTTCTAAATATTTAAACTTTCAGGAATTTAGATAACACAGGACATTTATATTTCAGCCTAATGCATGTCTTACAAAACACCAAGTGCACCTTCGACCCTGCCCCACCAATAAAAGAAGTCTGCTATTAAAACACGCACCTACAGAGTTTTTTATTAAATTCAACAACTTTGGAAGTACAAAAAATTGGTAGATAACGTAATCCCCTCCCCTTAGCCTCCTCATTTGCGTTCCAAAGATAACTTCTTTTCATTTTGTCCGTTCTCTTGGTTGTCCATTTGCTTGGAGCAAAAACAGCGAGGAAATAAGTGGCAGTGGCCGTGATAAAAGCATTAATCAAGTCAACCTCCCAGCTCTAGCCAGTAGCTTTCCTGTGATGTTCTGTTCTATACTATTTCAGGTTTTCAGTTCATGCTCAACGTATTATAATTCTGATGTTCTATAACTCCAGATTTATTTACTGGCCCTGAAGATCCGTGATCCCAGTCTATTTTATTTGATGTTACCATCTTCAATTGTTACCAGTCCACTGGTTTCATAACATCCCTCAGGCCTTGTTCGGTTACACCCCTCCACAAGAGGATTGGAGGGGATGAGGAGGTTTTGACTTGCAGGAGATTAAATCCACTTCCATCCCTGCCAAACCCCCTTCGAATCCCTCTCAACCGAACACAGCCTCAAGGTGTGCAAGAACAAAAGAAGGCATGAACCTTTGTTTTGTGCTGTTTAAATAATGATTCACAGAAAATTGATCAAGTGTTGATTATTTCTTAAATTATGGCCAGGAGAAGCATGCCTCTTGGTGCTCATCAACATGTTCAAAACAGCTAGTTAAGCCAAACCATCAAGAGTGTTACAACCAACGGTTTTTAGAGGTAGAGATGGCAATCATTCAGAAGTTCAAATTGAAGTGGCAAATATTACAACATACTGACCTTTATCCTCTCATTGTGCTAAATCATTGTAGCCAAGTCAGCAATTCCAACATTTTCCAGTGCCCTAGGTAAAATAAACAAATGGCCTAGGTAATCATCACAGATGTCGTCAATTAGCATATCCACATATGCATATGTAGAGGCATTGCCAGAAGCACAGAATCAAACACAGTTTATAAAAGAGAACATGGGTAAAAAAAAGTACCTCTGGCAGCATGGGGTCTTGAAGATCGTTTCTTTTGTAAAGATCCCCAAATTTCTTATGTTCCAGCAAATTTTGTATTGGCTTGAACAGGCAACATGGATCAAAAAATGAAGCCACTTTCTCGTGAAGGACACTCCTTCCCAGCAAACATGTGGTTCAGATAACATGAAGATGTCTCCTGCCTTCCAAGTTGAACCCAGGTTGTGCTTCAGAAGTTACTTCAGAATAACAGCAACCAAATGCAATGCAAAGCCATCTTCCAAATAATTAAATTTTCAGGACATTTACATAACAGAGACGTGACCATGAGCAATCAATACAAACCACAGATAAATATTGTAGAAAAGTCCCTTAACAGTGACAGATGTTCATATTAATGCCTAACAAATGTCTGACAAAACGCCAAGTGCACTAATCTGCTTTAATTATGCCAAAAAATTAAACCAACAAATTTGGTATAACAAGCCAGAATATTATATAATAACTTAGTTCGCTACTCATTACATATAATCCATCAAGTTATTTAATAACAATAATATAACTTAGTGCACCACATCATTACATCACGATTAACTTAGTTCGCTACATCACTGCATCACTCCATTACATCAGAACTATGTTTACCAAGACACAGGATTACAGCCTAAAGTCCATCAAGGACCAGACAACCCTGAATCTGAACTTCCCAGCACCACACGTAATTTTATGTTCATCTGCACCAGTGCGGCGTGGAGTGAAATCAAAGTTTCGTTCAGCACAAACACCATCAGCCTCATTATTTATGTGAAACATCACCGTTCTTTCCAGACAGATAGTAATGACACTTCGCCGGAGTTTGATAACTCCACTTTCATCACTTGTAACCACGCCATCTGCTGTGCTATCATGAATCACAATCGTTTGTTCATTGTCCAGCTTGCGAGCTACATCCGCGATGCCAACTGTTATATTTCCTTTAAAAAGCCCCTCAGTGAGCTTGATTTCAAAGGTGCACTCGACTGCGTTCAGGACAGTTGTGAATCTCACTTCTGTAGTGCTGAGCCAGCTCTCAAGGGTTTCACTTCTAACCATGACATCTTTCTCTCTAGACAGTACTCTGGCCATCAATGCTTATTAGACCCTTGCTAAATGGCCTGTCTGGAACTCCTTCTTCCCTTATTTTAAGATCTATCTCTAGATAGATGAAATCAACCAGCACTAGACCTCGATATGGGCCAGTTAAAATCAGCATTCCATCCTATGAAAAAAATTGCACAAGAGATTAAAGTATGCTCATCCAAACACTGCTCAAAATGAAGATTGAAACTTGAAAGCATGGCATAAAAGCTACTCCGTTTATATGCAGATGACTATCTGGATCGACAACCACCAGCACTAAGATAACTCCATTTATATGTACATTAACAGTTTATTAAAGGCATCTTCAAATAAAACGAAACCCGATTAGAACGAACTTAGAAGGAAGGATGTACCTCGTTGACACGCTGGCAATCATCTCTATTGCGGTGAAAGAGATAAATGCACTTGTAGTCAATGCTGTCTCTGGCAATGACACGGCCATAGACATCGACTGGGAAGCCTGCATCTGAGGAGACTATGCTGACGGAGAGGATGTTTGCAGAGTCTTCTAGCCCAAATTCATCTTGGTAGATACTATCAGTGTATCGCATTGGAGGGACAGACGCTGCAATTAATAAGCAAAATAAATCTATCAGATTATTTCATGACAATAAACAGCCCCAGCTTGTGTTCTTCCCATTTCTATGCCACTGAGTTAAACCACGTAATATTCTTATTTCATTTGCTGAGTTAACTTCAAGAGAAAGCTATCATCTCACCATTCGAACCAAAGTTAATTTCAATTTTAGCAAAATCAGTGATTCTTGTTGTTAAGTGATACATACGAATCAAATCCAAGTAAATGAATTGAGATTCGCTGTTAACTTCAAGAGAAAACTATCATCTCACCATCTGTAGAAAGTAAATTTCGGTTTTAGCCAAATCAGTGAGTTCCTGTTGTCAATTGATACACCTGAATCAATCTAGTAAACGGATTGGGATTCACTGTTCACTGCTATGCATCAATAATGAAGAGAACATGGCATGTCAGAGGATTCTCCTAACAGAGGATTATACAGGTGAGAGACGTCGTCCTAATGTAACGTAATTCAGTTACCATACATACTGTCAATCAGAAAAAATTACTACAGCTTTAGAAATGGAGAGGGAGAGGCCACTTACACTCCTCGTCGATGTTGAAGACGGAGAAGTCCCTGAGGAAAAACCGGGTGTAGACGTCGCGCCCCACCTTGGGATCGTGCTCGATGATGGAGTCCATGACCTTGTCGTGTGCCTCGCTTCTCCGCCGGTTCTCCTCCCGCTTCCGAGCCTTCTCCTCTTCCTCCCGCCGGGACCACTCCTTCTCCTCCACCGCCCAGGCCACCCACTTCGCCCGGTCGTACACTAAAGGCTCGACGTCCTCCACCTCCTCCTCCTCCTCCTCCTCCAACTCCTCTACAGATGCCATCGCCAATCGCCAGCCGCCGCCGCCGAGCCAATCGAGCAAACCCTAGAGCGCCGCCGAGCCAATCGAGCAAACCCTACTTTTCCTCTTTGTTGACTCTTATAGATGCTGCTTTGGGCTGGGCCAAGGTCCAAGACTATTAAGTAACGTGTCAGCCTAGGCAGCCCCTGAGGTGTCCGTTAGCCAAAACAACATAAATTTCATTGGAGGATTTTTTTTTTCTAATTTGCACAACATTTTTTAGGGGTGATCTTTTTTACGGGTAAAAGACTTTATTTCTCATAGAATGGTCATATCATTTACAAGAAGAAGAGAAATAAAATCTGAGGTAGAATTCTCCCACAGTCTAGGTATTGTCGTTTTCTCCACTGTTTGGACTGAAACACCCTTAACCATCTACCGACGTTGCCACCAGATGTACCATGTGCTACAAGGGACCGAAGCAGATAATGGATTTAGCATTACTAACCACTAATAGAAAACAAGGCTTTGGTTAAGGCCAGGATAAGGGCATTAATCCCGGTTCACTCACGAACCGGGACCAAAGGATGCATCAGTCCCGCTTCGTGAGGCCAGGGCGCCGGCCGGGCCTCGGGGGCCATTGGTCCCGGTTCGTCTAACGCCTTTGGTCCCGGTTCCAGACACGAACCGGGCAGGACCAAAGGCCAGTCTTCTATCCCGGTTCTAGCCACCAACCAGGACTAAAGAGAAGCTTATATATACCCCCTGGCCGCTCACTCCTCAGTGCTCTGTTTTTTTGCCCCGGCCGTGGGAAAGGTGTGTGTTATTCTAGCCCACCTCCTATGCACATCATGTGTTCGATGAAATGCCCGAGGCACACTTAAGCTTTCCCCTCTCCATGTTCCTTGTCCAAGCTCCATTTGCCTCAAAATTTGTCTAGGTTTGGCGGTCCGTCCTGTCCCGTCCCCGTCCTCACCGCCGTCGGTCGCCCGCGCCGATCTCGTCGCCGGCACCACCGTGGTGAGCCTCTTGTTCTTATCTTCTTTCTAAAAGAAAAAAATTGTACTTGTATGATTTAGATAGATACTTGTATAATTTTCTTACTTTTATTATTGTTTGTTATTATATAGTGCGATGGTTTTGGTATCCATCCCCGTCGACCCTTGTCATGTATATATTATCTTTTGTATATATGTAGCTAGTAGCGTCGGATCGATATACGAAAACTTGTTGTTCGACCAATCTCTCGGAGCAAGAGAGGTCATTGCTCTCTGTATATATATGTTCATGACGATCTTCTGTAATTAATGGTTCCTTCATTTACTTACTAGCTAGTGTGTCGAGTTCTTTCTATATGTATAGTAGCTAGCGTCGACCAAGCACGGAGAAAGAGAGGTCACTTCTGTCTATTACCTAGCTAACACAATATGAAACCCCTAAATTAACCCTCCAAAACCCCCTAACCCCCCTCCTCCCCTTTAAAAAAACAAAAACCACAGCTCCTGCCAGCTGCTGATTCGTGGATGCCTTTTGGTCCCGGTTAGTGTTACCAACCGGGCCTAAAGGTCCTCCTGCCTGGGCGCCCCGCAGCGGTCACGTGGAGCCCCTTTTGTCCCGGTTCATAAGCGAACCGGGACTAACGGTTTTGGGCTTTAGTCCCGTCCTTTTTGTCCCGGTTCCAGAACCTGGACTAGTTCCCTGTTTACTACTAGTGTCGGTTGCCCTGAACTCTTGCGGTATGTGTCCAATACCCTCATAAGTGTACCCGTATTATGTGTGTCGGCGTTCATTAGAATCGATGAGTCATCTGCAAATAACAAGTGTGAAATAGAAGGAGCATTCCTACATACTTTAATACCTTCCAAGTTCCCAACTTCCTTCTCATGAGATAACATGCTTAATAAGCCTTCTGAATATAAAAGAAACACGTATGGAGATAATGGGTCCCCCTGCCGCAAGCCCCTGGTAGGCGCAAAATCATCGGTCTCAGTATTATTAAAGCGCACCCAGTAGCTAACAGAAGAGACACACTCCATGATAAGTTGGACCCAGTATTCATGAAATCCCATTTTCAACATTATCGCTTCAAGAAAGCCCCATTCAACACGGTCATAGACTTTGTTCGTGTCCAACTTCACCGCACAATATCCATTTGACCCATGCGTTTTCTTCTTAATCGCATGAAAGCACTCAAATGCCACTAGTACGTTATCTGTGATCAATCTTCCCGGAACAAAGGCACTTTGGGCCGGTGATATCACATCGGGCAAGATTTTTCTTCAACCTGTTAGCAATCATCTTGGAAATAATTTTGTAAACAACTTTACATAGACTAATTGGCACTAGTAGAAAAGGGGCCAATGGTCCAGGCCGGTCCAGCCCATTAGTCCCGGTTCAATCCAGAACCGGGACCAATGGGGGCATTGGACCCGGTTCGTGAGCCCCAGGGGCCGGCCGGGCCACGTGGGCCATTGGTCCCGGTTCGTCTGGACCTATTGGTCCCGGTTGGTGGGACGAACCGGGATCAATGGCCCTCGCTCCTGGCCCACCACCATTGGTCCCGGTTGGTGGCCTGAACCGGGACCAAAGGACGACCATTAGTCTCGGTCCATTCCACCAACCGGGACTAAAGGGTTGGTCCTCGTTGCGACCAAAGTTTAGTCCCACCTCGCCAACCGAAGGGGAATCAGACCGGTTTATAAGCCCCCCCTCTCTGCCTTATTGAGCTCCTCTGAAAATGAAAATAGATGCCCTTATATAGGGAATTTAGGCTAAATTCATACAAATTTCTCTTGAAATTTGGTATGAATTTAATTTGAATTTCCTCTATAAGCGCATCTATGCTCATTTCTGAGTAGCTTTTTATATAGTTTTTTTTTCTTTTCTGCTATATTTATTTTTTTCTTTTTATTTCTGAGTTGTAATAGGTCATTAAAAATAAGCATCTATGCTCATTTTTTAGTAAAGTTAATCATAACTATTTTTTCTTGTATTTATTTTTGAATTGTAATAAGTCATTAAAAATAAGCATCTATGCTCATATTTTAGTAAAGTTAATCACAACTGTTTTTTCTTCTTTTTATTTCTGAGTTGTAATAAGTCATTAAAAATAAGCATCTATGATCCTTTTTTAGTACAGTTAATCACAACAATTTTTTGCTTCAATTCATTTCTGAGTAGTTTTCTTTATAGTTTTTTCTTTTCTGCTATATTTATTTTTTCTTTTTATTTCTGAGTTGTAATAAGTCATTAAAAATAAGCATCTATGCTCCTTTTTTAGTACAGTTAATCACCACTATTTTTTGCTTCAATTCATTTCTGAGTAGTTTTCTATATAGTTTTTTTTCTTTTCTACTATATTTTTTTTCTTTTTATTTCTTAGTTGTAATAAGTCATTAAAAATAAGCATCTATGCTCCTTTTTTAGTACAGTTAATCACCACTATTTTTTGCTTCAATTCATTTCTGAGGAGTTTTCTATATAGTTTTTTTTCCTTTCTGCTATATTTATTTTTTTCTTTTTATTTCTGAGTTGTAATATGTCATTAAAAATAAAAAAGAGGCGCAATGCTTGTTAATCTACTTCAAGCCTTTCGGAATAGTGTCAACTGCACTGCACATAGCTCTGTGCAGTCTACCGTATTTCTCAAGGCTTGAAGCTAACCAACGTGCAGGAGCATTGAGCCTCTTCGTCATCGTCTCTGCACCCAGGGCTTATAAACAGCTGCGAGTGCCTCTCGGTTGGCGAGGTGGGACTAAAAAAACAGCTGCAGGAAGAATCAACAAAAAAATAGCTGCAGAAAATAAAAAAGTAGTTAGACGGGTCCATTGGTACCGGTTGGTGGAATCAACCGGTACCAATGCCGCTCTTTGGTCCCGGTTGGTGGAACCAACCGGGACGAATGCCTCTCTTTAGTCCCGGTTGGAGCCACCAACCGGGACCAAAGGTCTTCGTTTCCCGCCCTTTGGGCTGCTGAAAAGTGGCCTTTGGTCCCGGTTGGTGGCACCAACCGAGACTAAAGGGGGGCATTGGTCCCGGTTAGTGCCACGAACCGGGACCAAAGCCTTTGCTATATATACAACACTTAGCGCGACTTCGATCTCTCCTGCTCCACTCCCGTCGCCGCGCGTCTCCCTCTGC